GATGCACGTTCGTTCCAGTCGGCTTTGCCGGCAGGCATTTAGCACTGCTCGATTTTATGCGCTGGAGGGAAGATCTGGCTTCTTCATGCAATTTGAGTTCTTCCAGACAGAGATTGCTCTGGTCGGTTATCTTCGCAGCTACAGCATGGGTGTTAACTGCTTCCAGCCTGGCGTCTTTAAGCTCTTCTTGTAAGCTCTGCTTTTCTCGTTCCGCCATAGCTGTAGCGATTTGTTCTCCTTCTACTCTGGCCACCGCAACAGCAGCGGCGACCGCGTTGGCGTCAATAGATTCATTGGTTTCCATCGCGACGGCCCGCTTCTCAGAAACCAATCATTCTCTGTATTGACGTTCGGCTCCCATCTCCACCTGCCGCTTAACGGCCGCGGTCTGATTATGCAATTGTTATATCAGCGCTTGTTCCCGCTCTCTAGCAGCCATGGCTGGGGCAATCCGTTCAGCCTCGAATGTTCTCCTAGCTTCAGCCATGGTTTCAGTCAGCTCTTCTCTGCCCACTCGGGCCCTTTTCAGCCAGCTGCGCTTCATTGGTCAGAAACTCTCTCTGAGTGTTAGCCTCCGCTAGCCTGGCCTGGTCCTGAATAGATTGCATGAGGGGATATGTGCAGTTATGCTCGTCCATTGGGTAACACTCTGTACACAGCCACTGCATGTTACACTTATGGCATACGTCGGAGCAACTCTTGCACGCTGGATTCCTACATGCGCCTTCTGGCCTGTTGGCTTTTCCTGGGCATCTGCTCTCCGCCTGAGGCGCGCAGTTAGGGTTAGGGTTCCAGCGAGCTTCCGCCATGGAGACGGCACTCTTGCTCCTTGAAGTAGATCTCGCCCCTGATCTTTGCATATTGGGTCTTCCCCTGCTTGAAGCATTTGATCTGGGGCGAACGAAGGTATTTTCTGGTGGTTTCGGCGCGTTTAAAAGCTCCACATCCTTTTTCGTCCTGTGTTATTGACTGAGCATACGTAGCTGGTTGTCCGACCATCTCTTCATCCTCGACAACAACTGGAATCGAAGGTTGCCAATCACCTGAGGTGGCGGCAGTACGGAAGAAACCTTCTTTCAGTGGTGAGACATTTAGCTCGTAGTCCTCGTTCCTTTGTTTCTTGAGGTGAGGTGCAGGGGTTCGTCCTGTGGATTCCCTCTCATGCTTCGTCTGGGCCTCCGTCCTGTCCGCCTGAGGCGTCAGGATACTAGTGTCTTCATCAGATCCATCTGGAGACCATCTCTCGTCTTGAGCAGGGATGTCTTCTTCCATCATCGCGGACAACGCTCGGCTCAGGGAAATTTCGTTATTGATATTATCAAAATCTTCCTCCATGGAGTGATTTCTGTGATCTTTATCAATGGGGTCATCACTGTCCTGACCAAATTGTCTGTTTAGTGCTATTGGGGCGGGAACGTTCGTACCCGTGCCTGCCCATTCACTTGGGATGCTGGGGTGCGCGCCTACGTTCTCTTGGGCTTCCCCTGGCCGGCTGGTCTCACCACCGGCTGTGGCGATAGCATGTGTAGCGTGCGGAATTGGGCAGATTGACTCCGTCGATTTGGCACTCCATGACGAAAACGCACTTCGTCTAGTTCTCGCTGTCACGCCATCTCGCCTGCACGGGTCCGGGGTCTGCCCACGATTGCGAATCGGAACTCCAGCGGGAGAGACGTCTACCGGCATCTCTGATGCTCCCTCGGCACTACTGCCCCTAGTTACCCGAGTGGCGATATATGAAGGAGGGGCGCGGTCCTGAATTAGACCGCCCTTATTTGTGTCGTGTCCATCATGTTGTACAACGCGCCCGTCGGCGCTTCTCGAGACATAGGACACGACGTCAGTCTTGTCATAGCTCATTCCCGCAACGACTGAGTCGCGGGGTACATTCAGATATTCTTTTGGGATGACCCCGCGTCGACTAAGTCGCGCGTTTCGGCTGATAGCCAATCCTTCCTCTGAAAATCGGGGTAAGGTGACAAAGGAATTAAGATCTCATGTTCGCTCTGCTCAGGGAGAGAGGGGGCGGGATGAGACATCGATGAGACAAGTATCCGTTAAACAAGATTACTCTATCAGGAATGCGAAGGGAGGAGGCCGGCTGGCCTACGACCGACGACGCGCGACGGCCGAGGGCTGGCGCGCTCTTTTTCTCTCCTGCAAGCCAAGGTTGGCTTGTTCGAGCATCCATGCAGCTGCGGAACGCAGCTGCTAGTTCCAGCGGACAGTGCAACGCATGCAAACTAAGTTAAGTTCTATTTGAATATGAGGCGGAAAAGAGCATATTCACTCTTTTGGCTTATTGGGTGAAGCCGTTGATGGCAAAAACCTCCTCCCTGCGTTTCACCCACCCCAATGCAGCGTTTCGTGGCCCCAGACGGGGGCCCCACTGAAGGTCCCAGTGGGACCGCCCGCGTTCGTCAGCGACCGCCCAGCACAGCCCTTGCTCCCTGCGTTTCGCCCACCCAGCACAGCGCTTCGTGGCTCCATAAAGGGGGCTCCACCGAAAGTCCCGCAGGCACCGCCCGCGCGCGTCAACCACCGCCCAGCACAGCCCTCCACCCGGCACAGCGCTTCGCGGCCCCATAGGGAGCTCCACCGAAGACCCCAGTGGCACCGCCCGCGTGCGCCAGCCACCACCCAGCACAGCCCAGCCCTTGCTCCCTACGTTTCACCCACACAATGCAACGTTTCGTGGCCCCACAGGGCGACCCGCCGAAGGCCCCAGTGGCACCGCCCGCATGCGTCAGCCACCGCCCAGCACAGCCCTTGTTCCCTGCGTTCTACCCACCCAATGCAACGCTTCGTGGCCCCATAGGGAGCTCCACCGAAGGTCCCAGTGGCGCCGCCCGCATGCGTCAGCCACCATCCAGCACAGCCTGCGGTGGCTCCCCGCGTTTTACCCACCCAGTACAGCGTTTCGTGGCCCCACAGGGAGCCCCACCGAAGGCCCCAGTGGCATCGCCCGCGCGCGTCAGCCACCACCCAGCACAGCCCTTGCCCACTGCGTTTCACCCACCCAGGACAACGTTTCGTGGTCCCATCGGCAGCCCAACCGAAGGTCCCAGCGGCACCGCCCGCATGCGTCAGCCACCACCCAGCACAGCCCTTGCTCCCTGCGAATCACCCACCCAATACAGCGTTTCGTGGCCCCACAGGGAGCTCCACCGAAGGCCCCAGTGGCACCGCCCGCATGCGTCAGCCAGCGTTTTCCCTACCCAGTACAACGCTTCGTGGCCCCATAAATGGGCTCCACCGAAGGTCCCAGTGGCACCGCCCGCGTGCGCCAGCCACCACCCAACACAGCCCTTGCTCCCTGCGTTTCGCCCACCCAGTACGGCGTTTCGTGGCCCCGTTGGGAGCCCCATCGAAGGTCCCAGTAGGACCGCCCGCATGCGTCAGCCACCACCCAACACAGCCCTTGCTCCCTGCGTTTCACCCACCCAGTACAACGCTTCGTGGCCCCATACGGAGCTACACCGAAGGTCCCAGTGGCACCGCCCGCACGCGTCAATCACCACCAAGCACAGCCTTTCCTCCCTGCGTTTCACCCACCCAGTACAGCGTTTCGTGGCCCCACAGGGAGCCCCACCGAAGGTCCCAGTGGCACCGCCCGCATGCGTCAACCACCACCCAGCACAGCCCTTGTTCCTTGCGTTCCACCCACCCAGTACAGCGCTTCGTAGCCCCATAGGGAGCTCCACCGAATGCCCTTGTGCGACCGCCCGCATGCGTCAACCACCACCCAGCACAGCCCGTGCTCCTCGCGTTTTACCGGCCCCATAGGGAGCTCCACCGAAGGTCCCAGTTGGACCGCCCCCATGCGTCAGCCACCACCCAGCACAGCCCTTGCTTCCTGCGTTTCACCAACCCAGTACAGCGCTTCGTGGCCCCATAGGGGGCTCCACCGAAGGTCCCAGTGGCACCGCCCGCGTGCGTCAACCACCACCCAGCACAGCCCTTGTTCCCTGCGTTTCACCCACCAGTACAGCGCTTCGTGGCCCCATCGGGAGGTCCACTGAGGGCCTTACTGGCGTCCCGCGCATGCGTCAGCCACCTCCCAGCGCAGCGGTTCGTGGCCTCATAGTGGGCTCCACCGAAGGTCCCAGTGGGACCGTCCGCGTGCGTCAGCGACCTCCCAGTACAGCGCTTCGTGCTCCCATAGGCAGCCCCACCGGAGGTCCCAGTGGGACCGCCCACATGCGTCAGCCGCCATCCAGTACAGCGCTTCGTGGCCCCAGAAGAACCCCCACCGATGCTCCCAATGGGGCCGCCCGAATGCGTCAGCCACCATCCAGTACATCGCTTCGTGGCCCCACAGGGAGCTCCACAGAAAGACCCCATTTGCACCGCCCGCGTGCGTCAACCACCACCCAGTACTCCATTTCGTGGCCACATTTATTGGGAGCTCCACTAAACCCCAGTGGCACCGCCCGCATGCCCCCCCCACACCTGGTAAAGCGTTTCGTGGCCCCGTAGGGAAATCCAGTGGTCCGCCCGCATGCGACCCCCCACCCGGTACAGCGTTTCATGGGCCCATAAGGAGCTCTACCGAAGGTCCCAGTAAGACCGCCCGCATGCGTCCCCCCCCAATACAGCGCTTCGTGGCCCCATAGGGGGCCCCACCGAAGCCCCCACTGGCATGCATGCATCAGCCACCATCCAGTGCAGCGTTTCGTGGCCCCGCAGGGAGCTCCACAGAAAGACCCCAGTGGCACAGCCCGCGTGCGTCTCCCCCAACCACTAAAGCGCTTCGTGGCCTCATCGGGAGCTCCAGCGAATCACCGCCCGCCTGCGTCCGCCACGCCCAGTACATCGTTTCGTGGCCCCGTAGGGAGCCCCACCGAATGCCCCAGTGGCACCGCCCGCATGGGTCTCCCCCACCCATTACGGCACGTCCCTCACGCGTTTCGTGGCCCTATTGGAAGCTCCACCGCAAGCGGCACGCACAACGCGTTACTCACAACTGCATACGGTTGGGTCCTTCGCCAGGATACTTTTTTCCCCCGCGCGGCGTGCACGGCGGGCGGCTGCCGTTGGCGCGCACCCGGAAGGAGGCAGAGGTGTCGGGGCGCTGAGCCCAGACGCAGCTGCTGCACAGTGATGATCGAGGAGGAGGAGGAGGAAGAGGAGGAGGAGGAGGAGGAGGAGGAGGAGGAGGAGGAGGAGGAGGAGGAGAAGGGCGGGGGTAGGTGGAGGAGGAGGAGGAGGAGGGCCAGGAGGAGGACGAGGAAGAGGAAGAGGAATAGGAGGAGGAGGAGGAGGAGGAGGAGGAGAGGAGGAGGAAAAGGAGGGGGAGGAGGAGGAGGGAGGAGGAGGACGAGGAGGAGGAGGAGGAGGAGGAGGAGGAGGAGGAGGAGGAGGACGGGTGTTTTGCAAAAGGCGTGTGCAAACCACCGCGGCCCCCAGCAGAAATCGACCCACTCCCTCGGCGCTCCGCGCGGCGCGGTTGGCTCGGTGTGAGCCGGCTGCACGTAAGGAGTGACCCGGGCAAGAGTGACCTCTGGTGCGCGGCTTCTGTGGGGGCGCGAGGAGGCCAAACACGAGCGCGCAGGACGGTACCATCGCACCGAGCGCGGCGATCGGGGGCCCAGTGAGCGCGCACCAAAGGTCACTCCGGCGAAGGGTCACTCTTGCGTGTAGTCGAGTGAGGCCCCTCTGCTGCTCGAAGTCCGGCTTCTGGGGGGCGCCAACGCCCTGCGGGCGCGGCGCGGTCGGGGCGCGCGCCCTCGCGGGCCGCCGGTGCGGCGAGGTGCCGGCGGGGCGCGGGCTCCCTGGCGGCAGCTCCAGTGAGGCCCTCTCGGCCTCGCCGGCGGCTGCTGCCGGACGGGCTGCCGCCACCTGCTCCGCGGGCGGCCAAGGGCGGCTCATCGTGCGCATGCCTGTGCTTCACGAGGGCACTGCGAGGCGCAGGCGGGCGCTGCAGGGCTCGAGAGGCAGCCGAGGAGGGGCATCGCCCCCCGCTGTAGCACGCGATCGAACGAGATGAAACCATCAGTCTCGTTGCGTGGGAACGGGTGAGAGCTACACTTCAGTACGATCGAGGGGCCAGCAGGCCGGATTGGACCGCTCCAGAGGGGCGGCGCTGATTGAGCACACGCCCTCTTTGATCAACACAACTTAGAAAAAAAAACCAGATGGTTTTGACACATGTCAGTTTTCCCTCAGACAGGGTTCTGGCCAAGGCGAGTGGTAAAGGCAACCAGCTCGCCCACCTAAGTGGCCAGAAGCCATGGGATTGGGCGCACTCAGGCCGACAGAGCGAGTCCACGATGCTTCGCAGCCAAGAACAAGTTTCCTCCTCCTCCTTCTCCTCCTCCTCCTCCACCTCCAGCTTCTCCTACTCCTCCTCGAGATGTATTTGCAGCTCTTGGGAATTGGGCACGGCCCTAATAGGCAGCAGTGTCAGCCACTGGCAACTCCGCCCTGTGCCCCCAGCAGGGAGCTCAAGCACACACGCACAGCAACCGTGCGATCGCCCACAAGGCCTACCGCCCAAAGAAAAAGCCCAAGCGCCGGAAGCCTTGCTCACCACCGGGCCACCAGGGCCGATGGGAGGCCTAGGAGAAAACCGATTGGGCCAGTGCGAGGCTGGCGCGCCTTGCTGTACACCCTCTGGGCGACAGTATCAGCCGAAAGAAGAAGACTCATTGCTGGTGAGACGGATCATCAGTCATTGGGGCGTACGCTGCAGGGCAAAACGCCAGCAGCACTCCTCCTCCCTCCTTCTAGTCCTGCTCCTGCTCCTGCTCTTGCTGATTGGGCCTGCCCACCCCTCTCACCCCCCCCTCTCGGCGGGCCGCTGAAACACGCACGCGTGGCAACCATGCGATCGCCCACACAAGCCTACCGCCCAAAGAAAAAGCCCAAGCGCCAGAAGCCTTGCCCGCCACCGGGCCACTAGGACCGAACAGGAGCGACCCTGAAGAATACTGATTGGGCCAGTGCGAGGCTGGCACGCCTTGCTGCACCCTCTGGGCGCAAACACTATCAGACGCAAGAAAAAGACTCATTGCCGGTGAGACGGATCATCAGTCATCGGGGCGTACGGCGCAAGGCAAAACGCCAGCAGCACTCCTCCTCCCTGCTCCTAGTCCAGCTCCTGCTCCAGCCCCTCTGAACCCCCCCCCTTTCCCTTCCCGCTGGTGGCGCGCCTCCCCACGCCCAGGGGCCCCGCGTGGTCACCTTGTGCCAGTAGAGGACAAACATTCAGGGGAACAAAAAGTGACATAAACATAAAAACTCGGAGGTCCGCGCGGATCGCTCGGATCGGCGCTGGACCCCCCTCCCTGGCGCGCGGAGCGCGCCAGGGGCGGCGCCGGAGGCGCCGCCGGGGGTCCCCAGCGCCGATCCGAGAAATCTGCGCGGACCTCCGAGCTTGTATGTTTATGTCACTTGTTGTTCCCCTAACATTTGCCGAGCTTTTATGTTTTGTGTCACTTCTTATTCCCCTCATATGTGTTCCTGGGAGTGGACGATTAATTGTGTCTGTGTGTTTTTTCTTGCCGAGTTGTTATGTTTTATGCCACCTTTCGTTCCCCTAAGATTTGCTCCGGGGATTGGACGATTCATTGTGTCTGTGTTTTTGTCTTGCGGAGTTTTTATGTTTCATGCCACTTTTCGTTACTTGCTCCTGGGAGTGGACGACAAATTGTGCCTGCGTGTTTTTTCTTGCAGAGTTCTTATGTTTTATGCCACTTTTTGTTCCCCTAACAGGTGCTCCTGGTAGTGGACGATGAATTGTGTCTGTGTAATGTTTCTTGCCGAGTTGTTATGTTTTATGCCACTTCTTGTTCCCCTAACATGTGTTCCTGGGGGTGGGCGATGAATTGTGTCTGTGTGTTTTTTCCCCTCCTGAGCCAGGGGAGGGTAAACATTTGCCGAAGGCGCACGTGCACCACAGTGTTAAGTCGGGCCTGCCCCCCCTACAGGGGGATTTTCGACGAAAACTGAAACATGCAGTAGCTCACCTCTGGAATAACCAAAAAATGATCCAAACATCGTCTGGGGGATCTGTTTGGAATCGTTCTGGACCTTCTTGGGGTATTTTTGAGGGTATATTTATTTTTCCTCGAAAATCCCCCCTGCAGGGGGACGGGCCCGACATGACCCGAGTGGGGCGGGGCGCAGGGGCGCGGCGCCCCGGCCGCGCCCTCGGGCCGCGCCGTCGGGCCTTGCCGAAACAAAAGCAGCGCGCGCGCGAGGCGCGCCTGCGGAGGGCGCGCGTGCCGTGGGGCCCCGGGAGCTTCCCCCGGAGCGGTGCGGACGTCTGCTCCAGATTTCGTAACAAAAGGGAGGGGGTCTGGACCCTCCAAGACAAGCCATTTCAGACCCCCCCCCCCCGTGGGAGAACCCTCCAAAACATCGTCCCCAGACCCCCCAGGCCCTCCAAGATAGCCTGGAAGAGACCCCCCCCGAAATGAGACCCCCCTCCCTTTATTACGAAATCTGGAGTACTCACGCCAGGGCAGACGCCCACTCACGCCAGGGCGAGAGGGGGACTTCTGGGCGTCGAGGGCGCGGGGCGTGAATAGTTGGGGGGCACTCCCACGCGAGAGTGCAACTCCTGCATGCAGTGTAAGCCGGGGGCCCAGTGCAGGTGCGCGCCCTCGGCCTTCACGCCAGGGCGTGCAGGCCGACTTCAAGCGCACGCGCAGAAGGCCACCGTGCGCGGCCGCGTGCAGCGGGGGACTCCTGCACCGCAGGCCGCAGGAAGCTTTTCAAAAAAAACTCGCCGAGGCGCGCCTGCTGAAGGCGCGCGTGGGGCCCTGGGAGCTCCCCAAAGCGGTGCACACGCGCCCTCGGGCGCACCTGCACTGGGCCTGCACGCCAGGGCTGACTACCTACCAGACCACCCCAACCCAACCCGAAGACCCGAATTTCGGTTGGGGGGGGGTACGGGCTTCATATGTGGTTTTCCAACGTTCCCCGATCCCCCCCCCACACTGGAAATGGAGGGCAAATCGGGGCCTTCGGGTTGGGTTGGGGTGGTCTGGTGGGCGGTGAAGGGCGTGCAAGCCAACTTCAAACGCACGCGCAGAACGCCGCCGTGTGCGGCCGCGTGCATCGGGCCGGGCGAAACGGGGGGATAGCAAAAGGGAGGGTTTGAGAATCAGCAAACGTAGCTGATTCTCCCGGCGCCTCCCAGCGCTAGGAGGCGCCCATGCATCGAGGAATGGGCCCGGCGGCGGGGCCGAAACCAGCTGCACGCAGCAGATTTCGTAACCCCAGGAAGCATTTAAGAACCCCCCCCCCTCCGGCAAATCGATAACCCTTCCGCACCCTCATCCATATCCGCATCATCATCATCATCATCATCATCATCATCATCATCATCATCATCATCATCATCATCATCATCATCATCATCATCATCATCATCATCATCATCATCATCATCATCATCATCATCATCATCATCATCATCATCATCGTGTCCGGGTGCTACAGCTATCGTTCGGTTATTTCGGCCCTTCGGAATATCGAATAAAAAATGCGGTGCTACGATATCGCCGGGGGGGTTCTTAAATGCTTCCTGGGGTTAACCCCCCCCCTTTCCCAATTCCCCCCCTTTCGTGCGGCCGCGTGCAGCAGGGGACTCCTGCACCGCACAGGCCGCGCCGGGGGGGGGGGGCCTCTAAACCGCGCGCAGGCAGGCGGCACCCGCGCCCTGTCGCCGTGCGCGGCCAGAGCCGGGGCCTGGGCCCTGGCGCGGTGCGTCCTCCGCCTCCCCCTCCGTCTCTGCCGCTCCCACACAGTGAAGGGGCCCTGGGACACACAAAAAAAAGGCACACAAAGAACAGGATCCCCCATATTTTCTCATATCTTCAGGGTTTTTGTCTCCCCCTCTCACTTCCCATATTTTCCCGTATTTTCCTGGGAGTCGACGATTAATTGTGTCTGTGTGTTTCTTTCCCTCCTCATTATATATATATATATATATATATATATATATCCGCCAGCCCCCTTGTGGGGCCACCAGGCTGCGAGGCACGGGTTCGCAGTTTCCAGTACCAGTTGTAGCTTGTAGCTTCCAGTGTTACAGTTCTGCTTCTTGCTGGTTACTGTAACTAGTTGATTGACCGCGCCAGGGGGGGGGAGGCCCAAACAGGATTTTTAGCAGCCCCTGGGCGCGTTGTCTGAATTGCTGGGGGGGCTCGAAATCGACACCCCTCACGCAGATCCGCGGGGTCAGGGTCCAAAAACACAGGGGATTTGCTACATGTCTGAAATTCGGTGCCACCCCTCACGCAGATCCGCGGGGTCAGGGTACAAAAACACATGGGATTTGCCACATTTCTGAAATTCGGTGCCACCCCTCACGCAGATCCGCGGGGTCAGGGTCCAACAACACATGGGATTAGCCACATTTCTGAAATTCGGTGCCACCCCTCACGCAGATCCGCGGGGTCAGGGTCCAAAAACATAAGGGGTTTGCCACATGTCTGAAATTCGGTGCCACCCCTCACGCAGATCCGCGGGGTCAGGGTCCAAAAACATAAAGGGTTTGCCACATTTCTGAAATTCGGTGCCACCCCTCACGCAGATCCGCGGGGTCAGGGTCCAAAAACATAAGGGGGTTGCCACATTTCTGAAATATCGGTGCCACCCCTATATCGGTGCCACCCCACACGCAGATCCGCGGTCAGGGTCCCAAAAACAAATGGGATTTGCCACATTTCCTGAATTCGTGCCAATACGATAACACAAAAACCGTGTCAGGGCTCCAAAAACAATTGGAATTGGCACATTTCTTTTTGAAAAAATTTTTCCCCCCCCATCACCCCCCCGGTATGCACCCTTCACGCACATCCATCGCAAGGCGTGTAACCCAAACTGCGAGAACTCCCTCGGCCCTTTAATCGCAAGGTGTGGTAACCAAGCCCGTAAACCATACACGTCTTACCAATCGCCAGGTGTGTAACCCCTCTTGTGATCAGTTGGTTTTGCTGATTGCGAATCGGCTTCGCATGAAGTTTCGATACTGCTTCACGACAGCGCCAAGGCCTCATGACTTAGCTCTTCCATGGCCCATTCTCCGAGAGAGGGGGCCGGCGGCGGGCCCTGCTCGCCCATACGATATATATATATATATATATATATGTATTCCTATATTTCCCAACCATCCTGTGGTGTTGGATCCTCGTTTTGCAGGGACGGTGGCCCGCGTCTCCTCTCCTCCTCTCCTCCTCCTCCCCCTCATCCCTGCGTTTCACCCACCGCTTCGTGGCCCCATAGGGAGCTCCACCGAAGGCTCCAGTGGCAGGGTACGCATGGCGGCCTCGGGCCATTTCGGCACACCCCTCACGAGGATCGTGGCCCCATAGGGAGCTCCACCGAAGGCGCCAGTGGCAGGGTTCGCATGGCGGCCTCGGGCCATTTCGGCACACCCCTCACGAGGATCGTGGCCCCATAGGGAGCCCCGCCGAAGGCGCCAGTGGCAGGGTTCGCATGGCGGCCTCGGGCCATTTCGGCACACCCCTCACGAGGATCGTGGCCACATAGGGAGCTCCACCGAAGGCCCCAGAGGCAGGGTTCGCATGGCGGCCTCGGGCCATTTCGGCACACCCCTGACGAGGATCGTGGCCCCATAGGGAGCTCCACCGAAGGCCCCCAATGGCAGGGTTCGCATGGCGGCCTCGGGCCATTTCGGCACACCCCTCACGAGGATCGTGGCCCCATAGGGAGCTCCACCGAAGGCGCCAGTGGCAGGGTTCGCATGGCGGCCTCGGGCCATTTCGGCACACCCTTCACGAGGATCGTGGCCCCA